GAGTCAGGAGTGCCACTCGATATTCACGCTCGTTGCTTTTTCAAGGTCACTCCTCCTCCTGCTACTGCTGCTGTTGGTGTTGGTGTTGCTGCTGGTCTCATTCATTCTCCTCTTTATTAATCTCAAGCCACTGCGAGTTTAAAGACAATGCCACGTGCGGGCCGTTCTCCCATAAGGCCGCATGTTGTTGTTGTTTTTGGTGTTTTCATCGCGCGAATTTGATATAACGCGATGACGACTGTATTTAGGGGACGCATTTTTATTTGTAACGCGCGATGCGGGCTGGGTTTAACGCGATCGAGCGAACGGGAACGACGTTGCACGGTTGCGCAAGGCAGTGGGATGCTGCTGGATTCTTCTAGATGCAATCCACTCAGCCTCGGTCTTTGCTCAGCCTGCGTACGCATCTCACGCGTTATCGCGGACTGTGCTTTACCCCAATATATTATATATCACAGTTGATCATCGATTATCATTGTCCGGCTGCTTCCAACATGATGTCCGGGTTGTTCCGGGCCGATCCGGCGAAATCGGCAAAAACCGCTCCGAAAGGGTGCATCAGTCCGGCGAACATCAAACACAATCACGTTAAATTTCGATTTAAAGCTTCTTTCGTGACTGCAGGGATTCATCTTCTTGGTTCTTTCGGTAAAGTCACGTAGAAGGGAAGTAATAAAATAATAAAACATAATACAATAATTCTCACGACGTTTCGGCCACAACGCAAGCAGCCGTCCTCAGGTGAAGACCAGGTCTGTCGGGGAGACAGCGTCTGAATGAAACATTGAATGAAACATTCAGACGCTGTCTCCCCGACAGACCTGGTCTTCACCTGTTGACGGCTGCTTGCGTTGTGGCCGAAACGTCGTGAGAATTATTTTATTATGTTTTATTTTTATTATTTTATTATTTCCCTTCTACGTGACTTTACCGAAAGAACCAAGAAGACACAATCACGTTGTTGTTGTTGATGATGATGATGTTGTTGTTGTTGAAACAAGATCGTAGTGCTACGTACATCACCCCATGATATAGTCTTCGAGGTGGGAGTGGTAAGGACACTTTTACACGAGGATATTTATTTCCGCCCATTTCGCATAGTAAACAAATGTAAAACACCAAAAGAGTGCGTATACACAACACCTAAGACGATAACGTTATATTAGGATGTGCAAAAAATAAGTTATTTTAAATCATGATGCTTCGTGATTATCGGGCGGTTGGTTTTAAATCCGGTGCCCCCTTTCCCTCCAAAGCCAACGGATAAGCGATGATGATCGATGATAATTGTTGATTAACGTTGATAATTTATGATAACTTCTGATAGTTGATCATAATCGCTGATAAATTATGATAATCGATTATAATAGTTGATTATTGCTATAATCTATTATAATCTGTGATAATCGATGATAATAGCTGACATTTGGTGATCACCGATGATAATTGATGGTAATTGCTATAATCGCTGATAACTGGTGATAATCGATGATAATTGCCGCTATTTGATGATAATCACTGATAATGTATGATACGTATCGATGATAATTTATGATAATCGATAATTATCTATTATTATCGTTTATATTATCTTCTCTATTGATCATAAACGCGATTTTCCCATGCACGGTGTTCTTCAGGCACGCAAAAACGACTACCGCGTTATAGGAGACCAACAGATTGCATTGAATGTAATGCATCACACAGCGCATAGAGCGGGGGGGGGGGCTGTACAAACCCCAATCCTCCCAGCGCCACCACCACCACCACCAACCACCACCAACCACCACCACCAACCACCACCACCACCAACCACCACCAACCACCACCAACAACACCACCACCACCAACACCACCACCACCAACACCACCACCAACCACCACCAACACCAACCACCACCACCACCACCACCAACCAACACCACCACCACCAACACCACAACCACCACCACCACCAACCACCACCAACCACCACAACCACCACCACCACCAACCACCACCACCAACCACGCTCCGTCTCGCCGCCTTCACCGATTCCCCCATTCGAGTGGCAAGTTAACTCGTTCCACGCTGCGCGCGCCCGATGATTGCTTGACACGGCCCACGTGACGCGCTCAGCAACTGACTCAGCTGTCGGCGTTTAATAGAGAGCCGATGATGCAAGTTTGGATTCATGCCTCGGTGTGCGTGTCTTTGTCCACGTGCTCTCCGCGTTGCGTGCGTGTGCGCGTGTCAGCGCGCTGCGCTACGAACCTGGCCACCCGGTTGTCGATTCCCGCTCACGGCCAACACCAGCAGTGACGATTAACTGAGCCGGTCTCCCCTAGGTTGACTCAGCCTTAAATGAGCACCTGGGGCGATGTCTAAACATCGCCACTGGGGAGACAAAGGCGGCCGGGCGTGGTGGGATTTTTGGGATTTTTGCACACAGCGTTGGTGTACGGTGATTGTTTTTCTGCAATATTTTGCTGTCTTTTCTTGAATTTTCTGTTTGCACTTAGTCACATATTCACTTTAAGATGTTTTCTTGTTCATGTTTTTTTTTTGTTGCGGTTGCACCCGATTCAAGAGCCGAATGGCTCACAGGGCTATACCTAATACATGAACTTGAACTTGAATAGGTGCTCGCGAACAGCGCTTGCCCCAACAGTCTGTTCAGGCACATGTTCCATCCGATGCAGGAAACCCTAATGCGTCAAGAGACGCAATCCTTGCCTGTAAACTTGACAGTCCGCCAGCATCGATTCTGCGGCGAGTCTGTTACTCTGCTGATGAAACACTGCGTGTCGAAACCGGCCCGGAGTGTTCGATTGTCTTTCAGCAGCGGTGCTGATGCCGCTGGAGTCATTCGCTCCCAGAAGAAGGCCGTGCGTGTGTGGATGATGGATTGTGTAAGAAACATTGCTGCGTGTTTTTTTTATCGTTTTGTAATAATATCTCATCACGTTGGCTAGGAGATGTTAACTGCCTCGCCTGGTATACAGGAGGTCGTTGGTTTGATCCCGAGTACCCGACGCCTGCTGCTGTATATTTGGAGTTCGCTGTGTCTTTCTCTCCCCGTGGTCGCGTGGATTTTTCTCCGGATGCCCCACGGTTTTTCCCTCCGCATTTAGAATCCACGTGGGTTTTAGAATATTTGGCTGCTGCTGCTGCTGCTATAAATGTCCACGCGA